TTTTGGCTGCTTGGGGCGGCCAAAACCCTGGAGCCGGCCCTGGTGTGAGCAGCAGGGGCCTCGGGAGAAGGGGGTGTGTGGATGAGAGGGCCTCATGGAGGAGGAATATGGTGAGAGGGGGGGGGGGTGAGCAGGAAGGGGGAGGTGGTGGGGTGGAGTGTGGGCAGAAGAAGTGGGGCCATGGGTGGAAGAGGCGGGGCAAGGAGCTAGCCTCCTCCAGGGGAAGTTTCACCCACCGCCCATGGCAGTGGGGACTGGGAATCAGAACTCCCTGGCAACCCTAGACAGCGGCCAGCACTCCACGAAGGAGTCCAAGATCTCAGCAGATGCTGCCCAGAGGAACTCTGCCCAGAGAAGTGAGGCAACAAGAGAACGGAAATAGGTCGTCTGCAATAACTTTGAGGACCATTTTGTGTTAAGTCTATGATTGATTGTGCTGTACTCTGTGGGGGTGGGTTACAGCCCCTACAGGAACTACAAACAGCGGGGGGTGATTAAGGTGAATCACTGAGGGCAGGTCTACACTTAAAACGCTGCAGCTGCACTGCCGTAATGCTTCAGTGAAGACGTTACTTAGGCTGAGAGGAGGGATTCTACCATCAGCGTAGGAAATCCACCTCCCCAAGAGGCAGTAGCTATGCTGATGGGAGAATTCTCCTGTTGACTTAGTGCTGTCTACACCAGATGTTAGGTCGGTTGAACTGCGTCGCTCAGGGGTGTGGATTTTTCACACCCGAGAGTGACGTAGTTATACCGACCTGATTTCCTGGCCTAAGGATAAACAACTCGAGAGAGGTATGACCCCCTGGAGGGGTTTCCACATACTGGCTCAATCTGGGCTTTCCAGAGACTGGGGTACAAAGAAAAGGGCTTTAGGTGTGAAAGGATGACCTGGAACTGACACTAGGCCTTCTTTCTGATCCAGCGATTGGACAGGACCTTATGTCCCAGGGGCCTCAACCCCGGAGGAGGGGTTGGAAAGACTTTGGCCTACTAGGGCCCCTACTTTGGCCTACTAGGGTGAGACTGATGGGTGATTCCTGGTGTGTTCAGCATGTGTTTAAATCTGTTTATCAGTTTTATATGTTTTCTCTGTAACGCTTTTACCTTAAGAATAAATGTGCCTGCTTAGAAAGAGCTATGTGGTTATTTGTAACTGCTGGCAATAGACTTTTCATAACCCTCAGAGAGACAGAGCAAAGCCCAAGGACTGGGCTTTCGGCAGACTGGCTTGCTGGGGATATCACAGTGTGAGGCAGGGACCAGTGCAGCTGTAAAAAAAAAAAAGGGCAGAAGGGAGAGAGAGATGCGGCTCTCTACCCAACAGAGGCGATGGCTGGGAGCTGGAAAACTTAAGTGGGTGACCTTGAGAAACCATGGAGAGGGAATACAGATCCAGTTACCCTGCAACTGTGACAGGCCCTACAGTCAAGCTCCTTCTCCTGGGTTGTAGAGGGGCATCTTGGCCAGTGCCAGGAAGAGAAGAAGCTGTTGTGAGTGGGATCCTGAGAGGAAGCAGATAGGCAGGGCTTCTTGGGCACAGAGCCCACTGGAGGGGCAGACTTGGGGATTTCAAAGCAAGGTAACTACCAGCTGTTGTTAGTGTCTACTGCATTCAGGGAAACAGGACTTTGTATGCATTCTTTGTGAATAGATGAGATTACATCTAGGAATAGACCTACCTCATCTCACTGATTTCTCCTACTAATGGAAGCAGCCCTGCAAGACCCCAGGTAGTGGCTAATTGCTTGGCCCAGAGGGGCAATGCTACACTCAAGATTGTGAAGTACTCAGATACCATGGTAATGGGGGGCATCTAATTACCTAAGATAGGTATTGCCCTGGGTAAACATTAACCATTGGCTCTAGGGTGAGAGAGGTAATAGGAGTGGCACCCACACTGCAACTGACTATAACCAGCCAATAGTGGAGGAGAGTTAAACACCTGTGGGTTTATGAGCTTATCTTACATGCCACTTTCAAGCTGTTCCTATCTGCCCACAGGCACCTAACTTCTGCTGATATCCTTATCAGATTTTTATTGGTGTTTCCAGTAAAGGGATGCAGCAGGCGCTTATCACTACCAGGAACTGAGGCAGATTTAGTTAATCATTGATTGGCACCAGCCGTGTCTAGGGAGCTCATCTCCCTCTCAGGGCCGGCTCCAGCTTTTGTGCCACCCCAAGCCGCGAAGCAGGGGGAAAAAAAAAAAAAAAAGGTAAAGCCAATCGGCGTCACTTCGGTGGCAGCTCAATCGCGCCACTTCATTCTTTGGTGGCAATTCGGCGGCGAGTCCTTCACTCCCTCTCTTCCTCTTTGGCAGCACTTCAGCAGCAGCTCAAAGAGGAGGGACCCGCTGCCGAATTTCGCCAAAGACCCGGACATTTCGCCCCTTTCCATTGGCCGCCCCACGCACCTGCTTCCTTTGCTGGTGCCTGGAGCCGGCCCTGCTCCCTCTACACCTTATCTCTGGTAATCTCAGCCACAAATTCAACTGCCTTATCTCCACAGATACTGCTCTGCTCCAGACCTGGCTCCTTCTGTCCAAACTGAAATCTTGCCCTGTCTCTCTGACATCTCTTCATTGATGTCTAGCTGTCAGCTCAACTGCAACATGACTAAAACAGAGTTCTTAATCTTCTTCCCCCCGCCCTCCCCGCTACCTTCTTTCTTGAGCACTGTGGACAATACCACCAGCCTGCCTGGCATTTAGTCCTGTAACTTGGGCATCATCTTCAACTTGGACTACTTTCTAAGGCCTCATATCCAGTCTATGGCTAAATTTTGCAGACTCTTTCTGCAAAACATCTCTTAGATACAGCCTTTCTAAACCTCTCATCCAGGCTCTCATCCCATGTCTTAATTATTGCAATATCCATCTCTCTCGCACTGACATATGCAATCTTGCCCCACTCATATCCATTCAGAATACTGCAGCTGCAAAGATCATTTTTCTAGCTCATCATATTGGTCAAGTCTCTCCTCTCTTCGCATCCCTTCATTGGCCTCCTGTTCTCTATCTTATCAAACATAAGCTGGTTGCCTTCACTTTGAAGCCCTTCCTGACCTAACCCCACTTTACCTATCATCTCTCATTCAGTAGTACTGAAAGGTTGACTCCCACCTCTGATTGGCCCAGGATGCAGCCTCCATCACCCACTTGTTAAATTTTCAACCAAGCACCTTCATACTTTCTCCAGTGCTGCCCCTCAGGGTTGGGAGGAACTCTTGGTGAACACCCTC